GTTTATGTAGGGAACGTAACTAACCCTGTCCCTCTTTATTATTTTTTTTTTTCATTCTCAACTACGTAGCACCATTGGTCATATTAATAAGTGTCCTACGGGAACATTAATCGAAAGACCCCCTGATAGGTGTCCACCCCGTTGAATAAAAAAGTGCACACTGAAAAAAAGAAACGAAGAGAGAAACGAATAAAACTGCTCGAGGTAGAAAAAAAAAGAGGGAGAAAGTCTGCCGAAAATTTCCCAGCTGTTGACGCTATCTGCATCGGGAATCAAAGATGGCGGACTTCGCTGCGTTACGTGTGTCGAGGCGAGCCTTCAACCCTTGCTATCTGCGCCCTATCGTATACATAATAGGAGCCCTTCCACAGGGGCAGACGTACACCGGGCGACAGCCGTTACCTACCCACACTTATCAATCCATACCGGGCAACTTCTGTCAGACGGAGAAAGTTTACATATTTTTCATATGCACCGTCGGTCGTGGCACTTTCTTTTCTTCTTAATCAAACGGAAATTCACGTTAACTAACATTTTCGCATTCATCGCACATCTATAGACATGTCGGATACTGATTCTCTTTCATTTTAAATTTCAATTCAAGGAAAGACGAGTATTTTCAACATACTTCATTATTTTAATTTCTAGCTCGCTTTCGTGTCCTCGCACCTCGAGGAAAAATAACAGCTAATTCTTAAATGTAAATAACAATTAAGGGGCTAAATATGTTGGGCGAAGTGTACTTTACCGGCTTAGGACAAAAATCTAGCCTGCCATACAATATTTTTCTCGTACAAGCAGTTCATGCTTTTTCCTTTTTTCTCTCTATTGAAAATTGCTCTATTATTTCTCGCATGATGCATACATCGATTAATCCACGTTTTCGTGTGTCTGTGTGCGTGCGCGCTCAAGTTTGCCCGCACACGCGCATACATGGCCCGGTGTTATTTCCGTTGCCTAGATCGTATCGGTAATAATTTTCCCTCCGCGTGTCTTTCTCTTTCCTCTTTTTTATTAGACAAGACATCTGCGAACGAGACGCAAACTGTTAAAAAAAAAAAAGATAAAATGTGCAGCATATTGTGCTAAAAGCATATATCACCCGCACGAACGACGTTAAATATTAGTATTTTACTGTTTATTTGAGTTCTCGATTGAGTTTCGAACAATACCATTATGTCCAATAAAATGCTTTAGTTTCTATATAAGCCATTAAAATAATATATAAAAGTATGTATAAATGATGAGCCGAAAAGAGATCATCATTATTAGTATGCGAGTACTAGGGAATACTATCATAAAACGTAATGTAAATTTCTTTTTTACAGAACTGATTGAAGCTGCTTCTATATTATTTACATATCATTAATACGACAATAGAACTTGTTACAATCGGATATCATGAAAAAAAAGCTATAAAAGAAATGTAACAACAATTTTCTCGTTCGTTTTTCTGTGCAATGTTTGGTTTGAGTAAGTGCTCCTTTAAACATTTAAAATACAAGAATCTTATGCGCTAATGAAAGAAAGAAATTTCCTTAAGAAAGTAATACCTCCGTACATGCCTAACATTTCAAATTACGACTATCGAGTTCTTGTTGTGAAGGCAGTAGAAAGTATTATGGATAGAAATTTTCATGCTCCATAATATAAATTGTCACAACTACTAAACATTATTACCTAATACTTTGGTAACCAACTACATAAAGCTGATTGTTATTTCAGGTATGTCGTTATAGCAATGAGAAGTACGAGTTGTCGTAGACTTTTCATCGAAGAATGCGATCATACAACAGCAAAGTCATTGTGAACGATGAAAATAATGTTACGCTCGTATCTCGCTCGATGGCGTTAGAGCTTCAGTCGTCGGCGCCCACGGATTCATTGGTGATCGTGTAGTTCGCAATCGACGTGTTTCACGAGCGATAATACGCCAACGATAACGGAGACCGCTAATTCGCTCGCAAAGCTCGAAAAGCACTAATTCCGCAATGACGCACGAGCAGCCGGAAATAGAGGGAAGAAATGCGAGGGTGATCGATTGGCCAGTGTCTCCGAAAAGTCGAGCGAGCACGTTCGCACGTGAAAAAGTGAAAGGAAGGAAAGACGAATGGGAGGGTGGCAGCCATAGAAATACGAAATAAGTCGCGAAAGAGAGTGGAGCCAAACATTGTAACGCGCTGACGAGCCGTCCCGCCCACCCATCAGTCAAGCCTCGCACGCGAACGGACGTCATCGCCATAGCTGTTGCCGTGGTCGTCACCGTCACCGTCTCCGACACCGACACCGTCACCGTCGCCGTCACCCTCGCCCTCACCCTCACCATCACACTCACCCTCACCCTCACCCTCACTTACGGTAAGAAAAGTACGCACCTTACGATTAAGTTGACCTTCCTCCATTTTAGCCTTGAGACTTAGTTACGCAAGGGAAAAACGTCAAACCTTCTCGTTCAATTCGAATGGCGATACTACTCTTGCCAAATGACTTTCCATTTCTTAGACGAGTTTAATTTATATATATTTTTTTTCTTTCTGTTCGCTTACTTCCTAGTGTCTCGATATTATTAAATCGGGTAGGGTAAAGTCGCCTAGGCAATATAAAATTGTAGGGAAACATGAACTAGATGTTTACCATTATACGTCCGGGGCAGAACTGCGACTTGAATTATGGTCTACATTACTTGATAACACAATTACAGGCAGTTTGAAATTTACACTACTACAAATATTATTTCACTTTTTAATCTCTGTCATTCGCAAGTCAATACAAGGAAATGGAAATAAAAGTTTCTCGTACTTGTATATTTTCAAATAACATTACTGTTCTGAAACTTATATAAAAACATAATTGTTAAAGACGATCTGTTTCCTAAATTATTTGCTGTAATTTAAGTACTTGACGTAAGATAAAAGTAAATCGATATATTAACTTGCTTCCTACTACTGTAGTATTTAATCACATAGTAAAAGACACAAAAACATTATGTAAATAATTATTAATTATATACAAATAAAAAAATATTTTTACTAGATGCGAATGATCGATATCTTTTATTTTGATCTTTATATCAAAACGAATATATTACGTCAAAACAGTCCATCAATTATAATTTATTTCATTATATCAGTCATATGATTTAACCACATCTACAAAGAAAATAAATAATATTTTACAGTTATTTGCTTATGTAATTTTATTAATGGATAATGAATTTTTAAAAATGTAATTAAATACGACAAAAACTCAATCGATCCTTTTACAACGAAGAAAACAAAACAAAAAGAAAATAAGTAATTTAATATTTTCCAGTCAAGAGTATCGGCACTGAGAATCGCATTCTAGTTTTATTATAAAAACCCCAAGAAAATTAAATTAATCGAATTCACATAATCCCCACAAGCATAATTTTATCGCGTAATTTTCAATCTTGCTACAATCAACCATTGTCTTACATCATCGCATCTATTTATCCACGCATTAAGTAAGAGTTGTAACTGCAAATTCCTTATTAGCAGTAGTAGCCCTTAAGCCGTTATTAATCCATCGAACAAAAACTCGACGAGCAATAGATAATATTCTCTGCAGAGCGGATAATTTAATCAATTTTATCAACGTCTTCTTTCATTGTCTGTACTTATATTAAGAGTACAAAACAATATATTGTCGAGCAATAGTACATCTAGACACTTATTGTTCTATTGAATCGAATTCTTCTAGTCTCCTTATAAGGAAAACAGCTAGAATAAAAATGAAATCTTACTCTCCACTATAAACTATATAAATCATTTTTTCTTCCAGGGAAAGTCTTAATCAACCAAAAGAATATTATGCTTGTTACAATCATTAGTCATCCAGCAAGAATCTCAAAACAGAACGAGTATATTCAAAGCAGAGTTGCGAAGTATGTCGAAATTAAAAAAAAAAAATAAAAAAAAATAAAAAATAACACGATCGATGGTAGGCGTAAGAGTTTGATCAATAAACTTACCAATCGTCGTTTGGGCTTGATGAGCGGTCGATTTTGTCCGTTCATCTTATAGTAGAGTCCACAGGCATTGCAAAGGTAGTGTCCCGTTCCATCTCGTCGCCATAGCGGAGTCGACGTCGCGCCACAGTTGACACACTCGCGACCCTCTGACAGTCGACCCCCGAAAACGACATATTCGTTAGATTCTTTCGTTCTTATTATTATTCGTTTAGTTAAGCTTAATATGCGGTACTTTTGTACTTGCTACATTTTCGAAAAAATTGCCGTCGAAAGAAAAGCGAAAGCCACCCTTAATGTTAATTTGTATTGAATTATCGCTGTTCTATTTTCTTTATTGCCAAAATCGGTAATATCTTGCAATTTTCTTTGCGGCATAATTTTTTGACATCGAAAACTCGATTTCGTACTAGTTAATAGAGAAGTTTAATTTAGAATAATAATAATGAACCCCGGTCAATTTTGATAATTTCAATTAATCAATCAATATAATATACCCCACGTTTATAACTCTCATTCGAAATCGAGATTCTTCAATGTAATAAATTTAAGATCTTTAATCAAGCAGGCACAGCAGCATTATTTAAAACTTGTATTGAGTATTTCTCAGATAGGCATAATTTGTAATTAATGATAGACTATTTAATGGAAAAAGTATGCCAGTACAGGTCGAGGCATTTTCCGAAAATACTCAATTATTAAACGGCACTGGCGAACTTGTGTCCTGACACCAACCACCAGTGAATTATATAGCATGCACAGCGAACAAACCACCAAGCGATTACCAGAGCAAAAGCAGAAATCTTATACAATATAAATAATCAATACAATGGCTGAAATCCCGTTACGTATATATATATATATATATATATATATATATATATATATATATATATATACACATACATTGTCTCGTATATATATATGTACACGAATACATTGTCTCGTACATTTATATGTACGCATATGTATGATTATTCTTTTATATCCCAAGGGTTAATTATGAGGAAGAGAATAAAATAGTGGACAGAAAAGAATGTGAAAGTGAGTGAGAAAGAAGGGATGGGCAGAATGATGAATTTTTCTTGAATTGGTTTTTCTGGCCCATACTTTGCAACTTGATTACTGTAGTCTAATTTACGAAACATCTATGATTTACTCTCCATAAAAAAAAGGTCCTCATAATATCTCTCTCTCTCTCTCTCTCTCTCTCTCTCTCTCTCTCTCGGATCTTGATTTTGCAGCTTGATTCTGCCGGCATGATGAACTGCTTGTAGAGTCGTGATGTGTCCACAAATTATTCTTCGTCCTTGGTCCTACCATATTCGATTCCACGGTACACAATATTACGCGAAATAAACATTCGATTAAGTTACCATTTTCTCTTTCTATCACTAAACTAAGCTTTATACCTATAATCAAATTATATTTAAGTTTCATTTGAAAATGTATAACTGTAAAATGAAGTTTATAAGCAATCTTTGGATATTCAATTCATGATTAGTCTATATAATATATATATAAAATATCAATTATAAATGGATAGTATAATATTTGTATTTAAAATCTTTCTGTTATAATTAGAATTAAAAAATCCTTAATAAAATATTTATAATATTTTAATCAATCGATATCAATCTTCTTTTTATTAAAAAAAAAATCGTTTTCGTATCGATGAGTACTATAGACAAAATTTAGCGCTTCCTTGAGTTAAACAATATTATATCAAAAATCAAAAAAATGTAGTTACTCCACATTGAAAAAAGAAAACTCGTGCTTTCGTGTTGTATTTGCTTATTATATTATTATATAAGTGTGCGCGCATTTTTATGGGTGCCACTCCAAAAATTATTAAAAATAAAGTAATAGTGAGGCAAAATACAAAAATTGTGATTTCCTCTTTCACACAAATAATAGAATTGTGTGGACACGAACGTTATGTAAATATGTATATGCGTGCCCACGCGCGCGCGTGTTTTGTGTACATACAAAAGAAAAACAATAATACTGGCGTATACGAGATTGTCAAACTGATTATGTGAAATTTAATAATAATTTAAGTGTCATACAGACAATAAATATACTGTAAGCATTGGACGGCCGCCACCAAAAGCTCATGAAGGATTAAATAAAACGTAAGGAAATATTAAACAAACTAAAGAAAGATGATTAAAATACAAAGCACCAAAAAAAAAAAAAGAAAAAAGAAAAAAATAATGATAACTAAAATATTATGAAATAATATGAGAAGATAAATCAATTGTATGACTGCGATGCTAAACGTTTTTCAAAATAGTAATTTCTAATTCAAGAACATGATTTATTCTGCGTAAAAAAGCTCAGTCTTTAAGTAATAATGGTACGCTCATTTATCAAGTTATTAGTTTGCTCAGTAAGCTCGTAAAATATTGTATACCTACAAAGAAGCATTAATTTATTTTAATTTTCTCCCAATTAATGTTTTATTCAAATTTCAAATGACATCGAAGGGCAAGGAATATTAATGTAAATAAGAATAGCAGCTGACGAGTGCGACATAAAGTAAGATAAGAGATATACGAGTAGTATCGCAAGCCATATATTTCAGCCACAATAAAAAAGATCAATAATGACGAAAGATAAACGAAAAGTAAAAGAAAAAACATATTTAAGTTAAATGAAGTAACTGAACTAAATGAAATAAGGCGGATAGGAGGGAAAAAGTAGACGAGATGAAAGGTGGTAGAGAATGGTTGGCGAGCCGCTTACCGGCGGACGTCCTGGACTTGTTCCTGGGCTTTTGTTGCTGCTGCTGCTGGTGTTGGGAACCAGGTGAGTTTGGTGTATTCTGGGTGACGTGCGAGCCTAACAATTTCGAATCTGCCGACGTAAGCCCGGGGACGACGGCACCAGCGGCCGCTGCCGCGGCGGCAGCAGCCGCATGGTGATTTGCCGCCGAGGAAAAAAGGGAGGCGGGCCCATTATGGGGGTGATTATGGGAATGATGGCTGGGATACTGAAGGTGCTGGTACATGTTGTAGGCCGTCGCGGCGGGATCATACTGAGAGCCGTGGTGGGCGTTTCCCCCAGGATAACCGGTGTCGCGACACGGCGAGTTCGGTGTTTGCTGGTTGCTCTGGTAATCCTGCTGCTGTTGTTGCTGTTGTTGCTGCTGCTGTTGTTGCTGCTGCTGTTGCTGCTGCTGCTGTTGCTGTTGTTGCTGCTGCTGGCCGCTAGCCGTTTGCTGCTGACCGCCGCCCCCAGCATTGCCCCCCGACGGCTGACCATTACCTTCTCGCTGCTTGACCTGACCGCCCTGGCCTTGACCGCCGCCGCCACCGCCGCCGCCGCCGCCGCCACCACCTCCGCCACTTCCACCATGTTGATGGGGTGGCGATGGCGCTCCATGTTGATGGCCAAGCATCACCGAAGGCTTGACATCGCAGGACGCCGTCGAGGAGCCAAGAGCGTCCTGATGATGCATGAAGGCTCCCATGACGGCTGCGTGGGCGACCGCTGCCTGATAATCACTGCCGGCACCGCCCCCGGCCAATCCAAGACCACCCCCATTGCCGCTAGCAGTGCTGCCGTTACCTCCGGCGGTCCCAGCCCCACCGCCCCCAGTACCATTGGTCGTACTAGACGTTGTGCTCGCGCTAATGCTGTCAGGTGTCGCATCCTTGGGTGGCGTCGGAGGAAATGGAAAGGGGTGTCCGCCTCCATGATTCGCGAGACTGCTGGCAGTGCCACCTGGGCCCATACTTGAACCCAAAGGACTCTGGGGCTTCTCCTCGGATGAACCGTTGCTCGAAGCTGACGTCGTCGGGAAACCCCAGGGATGGAGGGACGGCCCAAAGTGTGGCCGGCAGACCTGGCCGATGGGCCCGCCCGCCATTCCGCTACCCGACATCCTGCCTGCAATCACAGCGGGGAATTTCGATCAGTTCGACTTGTTGTGTTCTGGGATCGAGTTACGGCATTTGACTAGTCTGTAACATCGCTGGAACAGCCACGCGAGCGAAAGAGACTATCGACGACTGTTTGTATCTTTTCCGGATTTTACACGAGTATTATCGAGTCGACAATTTATATCACATCCAGTTCACGTATTACATCACGACTTTGCACTAATATTCGCAAAAACTAACTGCACCTTTAGGGTATAACTATAAATATCAACTCTATGATCGTTGCCTTATCCTTTTCAATTTTGAAATTTGAGCCCTTTTGTACGACTTTTTTAATAATCCAGCGTTAATTAAGCTGCGAATATTCATTGTGCTATACAGATATAATAATTACACTCGCATACGTGCCACGATATCTAGAGGCTAGAGTCTTCAATCGATATATCGAATAGCTGTAGTGCAAGTGAGACAAATATGTCGTTGGGAAGCTTAATAATGTACACTATGCATGAAGAATTATATTATTCTACATTTTCTGTGTCGACACTCAATAATAATGGCACATCAATGTTGATTTTAGATTATTTAAGAAACGATAAGAATTATTACTTCTATTTGGTGATAATGGGCATAAAAGTCATTCGTCAGAATAAATAATTTATCATGGTCTTATAAAACGTCTCCGGATACTAAATTGACATACTAATAATAAATTTATATATATTCAGGGGTTACGATAATGTAGTAAAAAATGATAAATTTGTACCGAACCATTATGGAGTATGTGTTTTATATGTGCAATTTTGGATTGAAGAATTGTTAAAAAAAAAAAAAAAAAAATCAATTTTATAACATAAAATATAAGACAGCGAATTATATTCCTGGTTTTTGAAAAAATTAATACAGAGGAGAAAAATAAGAAAATAAAATATAGAATTGAAGTGAGACTTTCAAATTACAAATAACGCCGTCAATGATTCGAAATTACATTTTAAGAGAATTAAGGTTCTTCGTACTTTACAGCAACATGATATCAAAGTAAAACAAGAAAGTCGAGCACATTTTAAAAGAGCAATATATGTGGAAAAAGAGCCGATGACATGCATAAAAAATGTTATGTAAACAGAGAAGATTCACGCCTTCTCTAAATTTCGTACATATGTGAACATAAATATTGACCAAATTTTATCTCGGGCTTTCACTTTCTGCAGTCGTGCTTGAAAATCTGCTTAATTTTGGGAATCGACTTTTTGTTAGTGCGACATGGGCTAGAATTTTAGTGTGCAAAATAGTCGCTGCTCAAAATACAATGAATTACGTAAAAATTGTATATAATCTGCTCGCTGACTCGCCTCATTGTTTACGTCATATTATATTTTTACGAAAAATATTCCTATGAATAAAGACTGCATTATTCAACATAAAAGATTTCACATCGCATATTCAAGGTTATTCTAGTGGAGAATACCTTAAATTATTCCGAAAAAAATAATAAAATGTAAGTTATGACTTACATTTGCCTAAATTCTTAACTTTCACGCACTTATAATTGCTTTATCTTTTTCTAAGTTTTTATATAGATGAGATGTGAAATTAGATCTAATCATTATTCTATCTGAAAAGTTATATCTAATGTATTACTCGAATTAAACTATCGATGTAGGTACCAATTACTGTTACTATAGCATCTATTGAATTTTCAGAAAAACATTCTGTCTGGATAGTTAAACAAAAAATTTTATATTGCGGATAAATAGTTATATTATTCAGGAATTCATTTCATTTCCTTATATAGTTTGTATTTGATTAATGTAGTAAATTTATTTTTTCATCATATCCTCATATAAATTATTTCAAATAAAATATATTACTATTAAGAAATTATCAATGCATGGTATTTCAAAGTAATTAAAAAGTATTTGCAACAAACATTGAATATTAAAAAATGAAATTATTACAAAGACAACTGAATTAAAAAAAAAAAAACTGTAATTAATAAATGAAATCAATAGAAATGTAAATGTATAGAATTATATAACATTAATAGTATGATTTTATAATGGGAACATGCAAGAATCGTAGGAAATAAAATGCTCATATCAACCAATAGTAGCGAAAAACAAAATATATTAGCAAAAGGAATTTATAATATTATTACGATAAATTAAAAAAGAATGTAGATACTAATAATAAATGTATAAAATATTGATAAAAATCGAGCATAAATAGATGTGAGAAAGGAAAAAGTAAGAAAAATAGGAGAAAAGGAGCACATATGCTTGTATGAATATGTATAATAAATGCAGATAGTCACGATTATATCATGTATAAGCGAGAAACGCCGTACGATCGTAGTTTAGATAACGTATCTTGGTTCTTCACAGAACCTCATATTTTTTTATTTTTTTTTCTTATAAATGCGCGTGGCCGAGCAAACGACTGAGCCTTATCCGCCATTTCATCCTGTGCGTTCGCTCAAATGATGCTTTCTTCAACCCCCCCCCAACCCGCTTAACACTCGAAACGACTAGAGTATGGGAAAAAAACCAAAACTAAATATGCGTACATATACTTAAAATATTTTATATATTTTAATTACCCTGCAGAAATGAATTACAATCGCAATAATAAATTTTCGTATTCGCACTGTTATTATTCTCCTATATGCTTGTCCTTAAGACTATAAATAAGATGGAAGTCAGTATGAACAATATACGAAAGCATTAAAAAATGTTGCTCTGACCTATATGGATCGTTAGCAGTTAATATTTTTTCTATTTAGCAAGTGGTTATATCTTTTATGATATATTATATCTTTTATATTAGCCGAATAATTAAATACTAAATAATCCTAACTCTAATGGAATATTGTAAATAAATATTGAGCAAACTGATTTTGATAGATGGACCCTTGCACCGTAATAAAGCGCACCTTGTTCTCAAGCACCAGCACCCGCCATATTAGAAAGAGATGTTACTTTTCAATACTATAGGTAAGGCGTGTTTACCAACTCTCCAGCTGCATTGAAATATTTTCCTCCTCTATCCGTTCGTAGCTTTTCTACACCTTGGTTTTTTAATTATTTATTCATTTCTTTATCTTCTCTCGAAGAATAGAGGGCGAACGATTATTTTCATATTGCATGTTTAGGCCAGTTAATGTTACAGCTCATACAAAATTAATAAACGTTATCGCATAAATGATTCGAAAGTAATTACAAAATATAAATTATTTTTACAGCATGCTCGCGAAAAAAGTACAGCTCGGTAAAAGGGTGCATGCACTTACATTGAGAACTACTGTTTAGGATGCCTGGACGCGTCAACGTGCTTCGAAGCTCTTCAACGAGTATCGTTAATCGATACCGCATTCGACTCGAATTTACCAGCAGCACAAAATCGAGGCATACACAAACCCATAAACAGACGCGCGCGTGCGCGCACACACACATAAACTGATCCATTGATCCCAACATTTACTACTTCATTTATGAATTATAATATTTAGTTGTTTAGCGGTGATTTGTCTTGGTAGCTCTTATAGTCGTTATTGTGCGGAAACGATAGCGCCATTTTGCCCAAAGATTGATTCAAAATATCTGCGAGCCAGGGAAAATCTAATTTATTAATTATAACATTCACAGCGAGTGTTTAGTAATTAAATTTATATCGAACTGTAAATAAGAATGGTGATTATATATCATATGCTAATACAACGATGAACACCTCTAAGGAAGCTACGAAAGTCGAGTGGTTCGAGAGAGAAAGAGAGAGAGAGAGAGTTAAGGAAAATCTGTAGCTAGTGCGTAGTGGTAATAAAGATAATCGGAAGGGCGATCGACACAAGCAAAATGTCGCTAGGGATTGGCAAAACAAAAAGCAATGGTGAACATTCGACAAAGTAAGCCTTTGATCACTGCCGGCATCTCCATCGGCATTGACCATAGAATCAAAGCCCTTACTCCGAGTAATTAACTTCCATTGCTTTTGTGCTCTTACGCCTTTAGCGCGTAATAAAAACGAATCGCACTCTACATCTATCAATGCAAAAGCTTCTCGAAAGTTTGTCGCTGTGTCAAGGATTCAACGGAAATGAAACATAGGGCATTCAAAGGCAAACTGATCACATCTGTTGAAGAGAACTTTGACCTCGGCTTAATTTTGATTCACACTCTTGATCCCGCGTGGCTTACATTCCATTCGCTACAGCAAACTTTCAATTTTCCAAATAAAATCAATGTCACACATCGCTTCGCTACCTATACGAACATTGTATTTCAATTTTATAAAAACAAAACTACTTTATTATAGAATTTTTTCTTCTTATATATATATATATATATATATATATATATATATATCATTTGAATGTGTTATTTTACCAACAATATTAAAATATACTTTGAAATAATTTCTGCGGTTAATATTTTATATTGACATTTAAATAGTAAGTATACAAACAAACAAACAAAAAAAAAAAAAATAAGACGTCTTTTAACCATCTTGTTCTTGATATTGGAATAGTAGATACTTTATAATTTATAGTAAATATAGTTTTATATAAATGTAAAATTTAAAATTAAAAGTTAGGATAATATTTAAAATTAATAAATTTATCTAACGAAAGGCTTTACCTATGCAAATAATTTTAATAACGAAAGAAAATATTTGAAATTAACAAATATATATAAATGGATATCAGATTTGAGCCGATTTCATTAATTGAAACATTACATCAACTCTTTTGTAGTGAAAACGTATGTATGAATTTCATTAATCGAACGATATCTTAGAGATAATTTCTTTCAAATCTGAAAAGCTAAGCAAATATATGGAACACCTGCGATCTATGCAAATGAAGGCCAGGATTTTCTGATATCAAATCAGAAACTAGGAGAAAGCTAAGTATATCTGAAGATAGGGCAGGAGACGATAAGATGAAAGTATTTTGGAGCATCGCAAGTTTCTGAAATGAGAGGAGCTCACGGCTCCGTCAGTTGGCAGGGTTGGCATGGGGAGGGAAGGAGAAAACTCTCGGTAAGAGTGATAAACGAAGAGGAAAGAGAAGAGCCCGTCTCTTGGCTCCGCCTTCGGAACTCGCGTATGCATTTGCAAGATGGCGTCGTCTTCTTTGCCTCTCTCGTATACATGCACACGCTCACATTCTTGTATATATGGTATATAGAGAGATGTTAAAAAGGTCAATCGTGTGTGCGAAAAGAAGAGTAGGTAATCGAGCGTTGAAGAAGAAGAAAGGTAGAAGAAGCAGAATCGTCGTGGCGAATCGACACGAAGGGAGGACAAAAGGTCAGCCGTGAAGTGGCGAAGAGTCGAGTAGAACGATGAGGAGAGAGATAGAGAGAGAGAGTGAGAGACTATATATGCATAAGTACACGGATCACAGCGACGCTCAGAGCAGCGATCCGCTACCTCTACTTCCCTCTTGCAATTATGTTTATACCTCTCTCTTGCTTACCTCTCTCCCTATTATTCTCTCACTCTGTTGATCAAGAGTGAGAAGGAGAGGGGGCAGAAGAGAAGTTAGTCAGCATATATATAGAGCTTCACGGTTGGTTGCGCTTCCTTCCTGTCTGCTGTTGCTGCTACTGCTGCTGCAACCACTGCTGCCAACCTGTACACGCGATCAAATGCGTGTACACATGTGTTGCAAATGTGCGCGCGCGCGTGTGTGCGCGTCTATGGCTGGTGCAGTACTCTTTATCGATTATTTTAAAATATTCGTTGCTTTCTCATATGGAGTGCAGAAATATTTTGAAATCGAGCGTCACGATCGTTTCGGATTATTATAACGCTCGATGTCATTTAATGCTTAACGATATTTTGTATTATGTGTATCTTAAAAATGATTAAAAATGATTCCAATTGTGATTTAAGCTAAATCCTTAATTCAAAATTTTAATTTTTAAAAGGATATTTTAATGAATAAGAAAATAAAAAATTTTAAATATATATAAAAATCGAAGAAAACGGAAAAGTAAATGTAGTTGTATATAAAAACAAAGTGAAGTCTAATGAAATGATTTCATACCAATGCATACTATTTGAATAAAATTATACTAAAATCCTTTAAAACGAATGGTCTTTAAGATCCATTGCACAGACAATTTATATATTGCAAATTTAACCGTAAACTTAACCAACACCTTACTGCTCTTAAATTTTTCCGATATATAAGTATTTTATTTATTTCCTTGTAACCATTATCTTCATTGTAGCCATTATTGAATATTATCGTAAGATTCATCTGTGTTGAAAAATAAGTTGCAATGCAGAATTAAATATTACCAATTTTATTTATAATGTGCGAACATTTTTTCTATTTAAGTAATGATTGCCACCGATGGTGGACACGTTTTTATTGTTTTATCGGATAGTCATAAAATTTCATTTGCATTTGCATATTATAGTTACACGAAATGTATGTGAAATTATTCTCAGAATTATAATATTAACGTCTTGTTAAAATATCCTTTGAAATTATTTGTAAACAGCCTTGAGATTATTAAACAATTTGCAATTAAATAGTGATGATAGAAGAAGAGGTGAAGACAAGCTATGTGCATCGAGTTGACGCTGTTTTTCCTGAACGAACAGGGAACAGAGGCGTCTCCATGCTCGCTATAATGCAAATAAAAAATCCACCCAAAAGCAGAAGAAGAACAACGTGTCCAGAACTATAATCCGAGCCTTGCGCGCGTCGGTAAAAATCAGGCGTATCGACTTGCCCTGAACTCCAGCTACGTATCGAATTTCCTACGGGCGTTCCTTCGCCTTCGGATTGAGCAGCGGCGATCCACGTTCCCGTGTCATTTTTTACTCCCTCCCGTCGCTTCTGTATAAGCTAAACAAGAGAATGTGAGTATTCCTTTACAGACGAGCTCGTGTAGCTCTTGTCGCACCTCTGTCGTACAAATCTTTGAATGGGCGAAGAAGGGGGAGGGGGGGGA